GACCAAAAACCCAGAAATGAGAGATGTGTTGGTACTTCCACCAAACAGCCCCTCCTCCCCCTATTGGATCTGCCCCCAGGGGCTGCCAGGTTGATGCCTTGGGTTCCTGATCCACACAGGAGGCTGATAAAAGAGAGAAAACAACAATCTTTTACCCACCAGGTGAGACCTCTCCTGAAAGTGAATAATTAACTCAAAGATATTGGAAGTCACGGGGAATTCAGTTGGAATCTTGAATCCACCTCTTGTCAGCTGCTTGCCCTCTGGCAAGGAAGTTCTGTCTGAGCCTCAGTTTTCTCATCTGTAAAATGGGTGTTAAGTGTTGAGGTAAGAAAAGAGAGGAGAAATGCAAATAAAAAGCTTAGGCTAATCGGGTTGTATTTATTTTTTATTTTATTTGTTTGGCAGTGCTCCATGGCATGTGGGATATTCCGGCAACCAGGGATTGAACCCACGCCCCCTCCTGTGGGGCTTCTCAGGCAGATCAGTGATAAAGAATCTGCCTAGCTGTGGTATATATACACCATGGAATATTACTCAGCCATTAAAAAGAATTCATTTGAATCAGTTCTAATGAGATGGATGAAACTGGAGCCCATTATACAGAGCGAAGTAAGCCAGAAAGATAAAGACCATTACAGTATACTAACACATATATATGGAATTTAGAAAGATGGTAATGATAACCCTATGTGCAAAACAGAAAAAGAGACTCCTATGTATAGAACAGACTTGTGGACTCTGGGAGAAGGCGAGGGTGGGATGTTTCAAGAGAACAGCATTGAAACACGTATATTATCTAGGGTGAAACAGTTCACCAGCCCAGGTTGGGTGCATGAGACAAGTGCTCGGGCCTGGTGCACTGGGAAGACCCAGAGGGATTGGGTGGAGAGGGAGGTGGGAGGGGGGACCGGGATGGGGAATACATGTAAAAAAAAAAAAAAAAAAGATACACTATGGTTGTGATAAAAAAAAAAATAAATTAATTAATTAATTAAAAAAAAAAAAAAAGAATCTGCCTGCCAATGCAGGAGACTCAGGAAACTTGGGTTCGATCCCTGGGTTGAGAAGATCCCCTGGAGGAGGAAATGGCAACCCACTCTGATGGGAGCCGGCACACGAGATCTCACCCACGCCCCCTCCTGTGGGGCTTCTCAGGCAGATCAGTGATAAAGAATCTGCCTGCCAATGCAGGAGACTCAGGAAACTTGGGTTCGATCCCTGGGTTGAGAAGATCCCCTGGAGGAGGAAATGGCAACCCACTCTGATGGGAGCCGGCACACGAGATCTCACCCACGCCCCCTCCTGTGGGGCTTCTCAGGCAGATCAGTGATAAAGAATCTGCCTGCCAATGCAGGAGACTCAGGAAACTTGGGTTCGATCCCTGGGTTGAGAAGATCCCCTGGAGGAGGAAATGGCAACCCACTCTGATGGGAGCCGGCACATGAGATCTCACCCATGACAAGGTCATGGGGAGAAAGCCTGATGGGCAAGGTGGATCAGGTTTTCATGGATTCCGAAAAACTGCCCCAAAGCTGCCCCCGGCGCTCACCTTAAAGATGGTATCTGTTCTTCTGATGCTTGCTTTAATACTCCCTAATTTCTGTAACATAGGCAGAAGGTCTTCCCTGATCTCTTCCCAAATAAGAATCAATTTAGAACTTTAATCAATAAGTTTCCCAGGTGGTGGTATTTTATGAGATTATTCAGGGTGAAAGGAGTGTTTTAATTTAAACTCCTTTGCTGGTAGTTTGTTAGCCAAATGCATTTATGCTCTTGATACTAATATGCATGATTGCTTATAATATTTTAATCATAAAATAGCATAAAGAACCTGATTATATAAAAGCCCTAATAGACATAGAGCATTTTTGAAGGGTGAAGGAGTTTTATTAGAAAATATAAGAAAAAATTATTATAAAAGTGGTTATTGGGTTAACGTTTGTTTTTGCTTTTAGGACGTTAAGGCTGTGCTATGGAAACCATTGTTAATATAGTTATAGATTTAGAAAAATAAGAGCTTAGCCCTAGTATTGTAACAATGAGATGGTTGGTAATTGTCAGCCAGGAGTGCTAGGCAAAAGCTGCCTCACCAAAGTCGCAGAGTCAGTGTGGGGTAAACTTCTTAGATAAACGCAACTGACAACTTCTGCAGAAGGATTAATTTTTGTATTAACAAGGTTATACTTCTACTCTGTACTGTTGCCCTATGAGACTGCTACCTTTCAGTTAAGGTCACCATAGAAACAGAAAATAGGTTTACATTCACCTGACTTGCATAAAATGTTAATAGGCCCCCAGGCCAGAAGATAATGTACAAGACCCTCATAAACAAAGAAGTATGCAGAAAACACCCTGGTTTCGTGAAGGACAAGCTGACGTAATGTTAAACTATCTTCCCCTTAGAAATGTACTAACTTAGGGTATAAAAGCTATGGTAAAAAATAAAGCATTGCCAGACTCTGCCAGACCCAGCTGCACCCCCGGTCTGGTCACTCTCTCTCTCTCTCTCTCTCCCTCACAGACTTGGCCCTATCAAGGCTGGTCTCACGTGTCTTCTATCTCTTGCCGACGCCGTTCATCCTGAGGGTACCTCCTGGATCCTGCCGAGGCTGGACCCCGGGACCACTCAAATATTCTTGCCTGAAAAATCCCATGAACAGAGGAGCCTGGCAGGCTACAGTCCACAGGGTCACAAAGAGTGGAACATGACTGAGCACACCCCGGCAGTGGAAGTACGGAGTCTTAACCACTGGACCACCAGAGAAGCCCACTAGTAGTCTTCTGGGGACTTCCCTGGTGGTCCAGTGGTTCAGACTTCCCGCTTCTGCAGGGGGCTCAAGTTCAATCCCTGTTGGAGAACCAAGATCCCACATGCCTCAGAGGGTGGCCTAAAGTTGAAGGAAAAAACCCCAAAATCGAAAGGAAGCAACCTTGGCCGGGAGGAAATGTGGTTCTCTGATCTCTCCTTATCTGTTTATCAGAGATCTGGGTCTACCCCTATCTCCTCTCTTTTTCTACCAGGCTATCTCTCTTGAAGCCACTATTTCCCATTCACACCCATTTCAGCTCCTTTCCATGAAAAAATGTGTGTGGCAGTAGGTGGTCTGCATCAGTGTCAAGGTCTGGGCTGGGCACCCCTTGGGTTGCTTGAGCCTCAAGTTTATCTTTTGCTTTTTCTTCTTTTTCCAGCATGGGGGTCAAATCCACAACCTATGTAGTGGAAGCGCAGGGTCTTAACCACTGGACCACCAAGTAAGTCCCATGAGCTTTAAGTTTATAAATGCGTTCCCCTCTGTTTCCAAATTTCTGTCTGCATTTTTCTGCATTTCTGATTCTTTGCCTATATGTCCACTACTCAATCGTTTGATAGATATTTCTTGAGTTCCTACTATGTGCCAGGCATCACTGGGGACAACCCAGTGACTAAGAGTGTATTCACAGGGATCTTGGTCCAGTGGGGAAGACAAAGAGTTACAAATGTGGCAGGAGAGAGCAGGATACTGTGGAACCTAGAGTAATAACTGAGTGGGGAGGAGAGGGTGCTGAAAAGGCTTTCTGGCTGAGAATATTAAGCGCTGATGCTTATATCCTTTTCAAAAATTTTTATTTTCTGGGAAGACCCAGAGGGATCGGGTGGAGAGGGAGGTGGGAGGGGGGATCGGGATGGGGAATACATGTATATCCATGGCTGATTCATGTCAATGTATGACAAAAACCACTACAATATTATGAAGTAATTAGCTTCCAACTAATAAAAAAATAAATTAAAAAAATTTTTTTTAATTTTATCTTATTTATTTGGCTGCACCAGGTCTTAGTTGTGGCATGCAGCATCTAATTCTATGATCAGGCATCAAACCCAGGCCCCCTGCATTGGGAGGGCGGAGTCTTAGCCCCTGGACCACCAGGGAAGTCCCAGGACGCTTAGATCCTTTTAAACATACATTATACCCATTCTAGAGCTGGGGGGTCCCAGGAAGAGATGGGGCTCGTCCCAGCAGGAGGAGCTCGGAGTGGGTGGGACTGGACCTGGATCCCGGCCTCTGGTTCCGGAGTGCAGGTTTTAAACCACTGCTGGTGGAGGCCCGGAGGCCAGGGGGAACTGCACCCAACGCTTGGAGGAACTTGAAATTGTGTGCGCGATGACCCAATCGTGGCGAGGGGTGCGGGGGTGAGGGTAGGCGTTGGAAGGAGGATGGAGAGGGGTCCAGAGCGCTGGCCTCAGAGTCGCATGCACCTGACTCACGAGGAGCTCCAAGGCGGTGTCTCGCCTGTGAAATTGGAGACTTGCTCCGCCTCCTGCTCTGCTGGGAGGAGAAAATCCACGTGGGCGCTGGGCACGGTCAGCGCTCATAAATGCCAGCTGGTGTTAATATTTTGATCATCCCCATTATCGTTAATAACTAATTAATTACAACTAATGTGTTCTCTCTGCGCCGGACTGGGTCTCTCCAGGCCAGGAAATCACCGGGCCCCAGTGGGGCGATGTCGGACTCAGACCGCTCTTCCACCCACCCGCGACCCCAGCCTACCCCGTCCTCTCTGGCCCACAAGAGGCCTCGTAAACTTGCGGGCAGACTGAAACGGCGTGGGTCTTAAGGCGCGAGTCTGATTAGGGGAGCCCTTGGCGTCGCCCCTCCACCTGCGTGGGAGGGGGTCCGCAAAGCAATGATAGGGACAGTGGGCGCTAGGACCCCGCAGCCCCGGCGGGGCGGAACCCACTGGCTCCCGGCGCCGAGAACCCATTTGCCCCCTCTTCGTGATGATTGGCTTGCCATCTCCGGCGTGCGGCTCCAATTGGAGAGAGTGGACGCCACTCCCGCGATTCCCCGCCCCGCCCGGGGTAGTCCTGGGTCCACCAGGACCGTAGCTGCAAAAGCGCTCGGCGGGGTGGGGCGGAGGGGAGAGTCGCAAAGGGGAGGATTGGACGCGGATAGCCCGGCTCGGGGGTCCAGTCTGCCAGCGCCGGACGGACAGGCCGAGCCCGGAGCGCCGCCATGGGCCCGGGGCCCCCGGCGGCCGGAGCCGGAGCGCCCTCGCGACCGCTGTCCCTGGTCGCGCGGCTGAGCTACGCTATGGGCCACTTCCTCAATGACCTGTGCGCGTCCATGTGGTTCACCTACCTGCTGCTCTACCTGCACTCGGTGCGCGCCTACAGCTCACGCGGCGCCGGTCTGCTGCTGCTGCTCGGCCAGGTGGCCGACGGGCTGTGCACGCCGCTGGTGGGCTTTGAGGCTGACCACGCCGCAGGCCGCTGCGCCCGCTTCGGCCCGCGCAAGGCCTGGCACCTGGTCGGTAAGCCGCTGTCCCGCTTCCCTCATCCGACTGCCGGCTCCTCTGTCCCACTTTTCAGTCCTCTATCTGCCCAGCCCATGAGCCTTCCCATCGGTCCGCTTAACTGCTCTGTACCCTTTCTCTGTCTGTCTGTCTGTCTGATGGCTGCTGGCTGACCCGTGGAGCCTCCTCCATGTGACTCTGGGTGTGACCGTCTAGTGTCACTTTTCTTCATCTGTCTGACGCTCAGGGGCACCCTGAACCGTCTCTGGGTTGGATCTTCCTTCCTGCCTCCCCTGTCAGTCTGTCTGGTCTGGCCTGACTTCTCTCCGTCTAGGAGAGTGACCACCAATGACACTCTGAGTTAGGTGGCCTAGAGCCCTGTGTCGCTCTCTGTCCCTCAGTGCACTTCGTCCGTCTGTCTTCTGCCCCATCTTGGGCAACCTGGCAATTGGTGACTTTGGAGAGCTGCCCTGGGAACTGGGTTGTGGGCCGGGTGAGCCAGAAAGGTCAGGGTTCTGTGCTTGTCCAGCCGATGGGATGGGGTTCTGCAGAGAAGATTACGGGGTTACCCTCTGTTCCTTCTGGGGGAGTTGCCTGACTAGAGGGCTGTCTGCGAGGGGAGGAGGTAGGTGTCACCGGGGCAGGAGTGCCCTCCCCAGTGCACACCCCTGATAAGGCCCAGCTCCTGGAGTCCCTCCTCTGCCCGCCTGGACCCTGGGCCCTGAGATTAGCTGCGGGCCACTTCCTTACAGTTCTCTCCCTGGCAGAAGTACTAGCTGCATCCTGGCACTTGGGGCACGCCAGGCATTTCAGGAAGCAAAGCCAGGAATCCGGCCACATGAGAATTCAGGGTGGCAGCTTTTCAAGAGCCAGGAGGGCTGGCTAGTATCTCCCTGCCCCTGGGAACAGTGACTGAAGAGGCAGTTACTTACCCCCGGCCCTTGTGAGTAACATATTTGCAAAGTTCAGCAGACCTCCAGGTTGCCTGCAGGTGGCCAGTGTTGCTGTGTTTGCAGCGGCTCGGGGCTGTATTTCAGGTTTCTTAGACACTGACACAGCTCAGGCTGTTAGATAAGCAGCCACAGAGGGGCAGGTGACTCAGATCGCAGACGGAGGTGTCCCTCCGCGGGCTCTCATTGGGATCGCTTACAGAGCCGAACCCGCAATCTCGAATTCAATTTTGTTCATAATAGTTGGGTAGACTTGTTGACACACACACCAAAAAGGTCGTTCCTGGGCCAAAGAGGTGTGAGGACTCTTTGTTTTCTGGGATGGACAGATGAGACCCTTCTAAGGAGATGGAGCCCGCGGTGGGTAGGTGGCCCTGGCAGTGGATGCTGCCTGTTCAAAGGCCCTGAGATGGGACCTAGTAGCAGCCCCGACTCCCCTTTTGTAACCAGAGGGCCGAGCTTCAGTGAGGGTCTCACATGACCCCAGACCAAAATCTAAGTCCCCTAAACTGAAGGCTTTGTGTTTTGGCAAAACAGGTGTGGGGCATGGGTGCCCCAACCAGATATCAAGGCATCTACCTGCACCCTCCTCCTGCCTTGGGGTTAGCATATAGGAAGATCCAGGAAGATCTGTGGGGAGAGGAAGCCAGGGTGACCCCTTGTGAGGCCTGATAAGGTGACTTGAATGAAGGTCACCTTGGCCACAGTGTCCACTTCCACTCTATTTTGCCCCTGAATCTGTGGGTAGTGGGGATGGACTCAGTGTTCACCTTGATGAGCATCTGGGCTCCCCTTCTAGCCCATGGAGGACCCAGAAAGCAAGACATGGATACTCCTCTGAGGTCCAGGCTGGGGCCGGTGAGTAGACTGGACTTCATAAGGAAGAAGCAGAGCACTGGAGTGGGCATTAGCTTTGGGGTTTTGGAGAATGAATAAGAGTGTGTGCTTATGGGGCAGCATTCCAAGTAGTTGAAACAGCATTTGCAAAGGTGTGAAGTCATGGCTTTGAAGTTGCTCAGACAGGAAGTGGCTCAGAGTAGTAGGAGCTCCCAATTTCACACATTAACTCTTAATCCTCACACCCATCTTGTGGGGTATTTTCATTACCCCACAAGGTAATGTAGGCAAAGGCCCAGAGATGTAAAGTCATTTGCCCAAAGTCCCGCAGCCAGGCAGCCTGGGGCGCTGACAATGGTTAACTACCCAAGCAGTGGCAGGGTAGAGTCCGGCCAGGGCAGCACATTCTTCTGACCAGAGTCTACAGTTCCCGTCTGGCCCTGAGTTGCCACCAGACCTCCAGGCATCTTCCCCAGGGTGCCCCTCCCAGGCACCAGTTCCAGAGAAATAGCACGGGTGATTTTGGTTTCAGTTCCCAATCCCAGGACTGCGGGGGCGGGCCCAGGGTCTGGAGGATGAGGTCACCTCCAGAGCCGGAGCCAGGGCAGGAAAGAGGAAGAACGGAAGTCTGACTCCGGGCCCTCGGGGATGGGAGGAGAAGGGTGGAGGGCTGGACTCTTAGCTCCATAGTTTACTCTGTGGGCCTCAGTTTCCTCATCAGGAAATGGGGTTAATAATAACATGTCCTGCTTTGGGCTGTAAACAGAGGCCACTGTTATTATTCACTCATTGAAAAGATCTTGGTGTGCTAGGCTCTGTAATGGGTGCCACGGACACAGAAGTGACTTGGAGAGACCTGTTACCCACCCTCAGACAGACAGACAAAGAATTCCTGAGTGCTAAGGGATGTGAAGAAGAAAAAGCAGGGTAACAGACAGTGTCAGGGTGGGGAGGGGACTGCTGCCAACGGAGCTGGTGGGGGGGGGAGCCTTTTGGAGGAGGTGACATTTGAGCTGAGTCCCAAGGGATGGAGAGGAGTGGGTCTTGCTCAGATGTTGTGGGGAGAAGCATTCCAGGCAGAGGGCACAGATGGTGCAAAGGCCCTGGGGCAGAAGGAACAGCTAGAGGCCCCAGTACCTGGAGCAGAGTGAGCTGAGGGGAGGAGGGGAGGGGAGAGCCTTTGAGGCCTTGAGAAGGACCTGTGCTTGTTCTGAGGAATTAGGGTATTTTCCAGGAAGAGGCCCCCTCATGGGCTGATGGGGACACTAGGGCTCAGGGAGGGCAGGGTCCAAACAGCCCCACCCAGCATCACCTGGTAGGACCCGGGAGGAAAAGTCCTCCTTGGTGGGGAGGTAGGAAGGGGAAGTGATGGGCACTTCCCCAGGGGACCCCACAGCGCTCTTTCAACCTGCTGCATGGCCTCAAGCTCTGCTTCAGTTTCTTGAGCTGTCCCCTAGCGGGTGAGCTTGGGGAGTCCTGAGCTGGCATGGGGCCCTCCATTCCTGCCCCTCATCACCTGCCCCTGCCCCCACGTGGGTACGGCATGTGACCTACTCCACACACAGGGGCAGGTAGCCTGGATGGGGAGGCCCAGCTCCTCTGTCCTGTTTGGGTGTGTGTCCTCAGGGGGACCCCCTAGATCTCTCTGCCTTAGTTTCCCTATCTGTCACAGGGCTGTAAGCCCAGGGAGCCCTGGGCCTCTGACCCTCACTCACTGTGTAAGCTTGTCTGTGTCTGGGTTTTGGCCCCACCCAGTCACCTGGGGAGCCCAGGGCCAGTGTGGGAAGGCCCTGCAATGTGCCGTCCCCACTCTGCTTGTCCACAGGCACCATCTGTGTCCTGCTGTCCTTCCCCTTCATCTTCAGCCCCTGCCTGGGCTGCGGGGCCGCCACGCCTGAGTGGGCCGCCCTCCTCTACTACGGGCCCTTCATTGTGATCTTCCAGTTCGGCTGGGCTGCTACACAAATTGCCCACCTCAGCCTCATCCCAGAGCTCGTCACCAACGACCATGAGAAGGTGGAGCTCACAGCTTTGAGGTACCACCTTTGGGGCAGGGCAGGGTGGGGCAGGGGGCCCAGGGAAACCTACCACGTCTGAGCTCTGCTTGGCTGTGTGGCTCTGGGTCTCAGCCCCAGAATGGACATCGTCAATCAGTGTATCATTCAGCTGTTGCTGCGTAACAAATAGCACTGCATCAGCAGCTTCAGACAGCACATATAGACTGCCTCACAGTTCTGGCAGGTGAGGAGTCTGGCTTAGTTTAGCTGGGTTCTCAGCTTCAGGCTTGAGGCTGCAGTTGAGGTGTCGGCTGAGGTTTCAGGTCCCTCTGCCCCGCTTACGTTGTCATCGTTTGCTGTGTTTGCTTCCTTTTAGAAGTCCTGGGGTTTGCTACTGCTTTGTGGCCAGCACAAGTCTCTGATCTCAGGGACAGTGTGAGCCTTATTTCTGAGGGTCACTTGATTAGGTCAGGTCCACCCAGGATGTGCTCAGTCGCTGTCATGTCCGACTCTTTGCGACCCCATGAACTGTAGCCCGCCAGACACTTCTATCCATGGGATTTTCCAGGCAAGGATACTGGAGTGGGTTGCCATTTCCTTCTCCAGGAGGCCCACCAAGGATAGTCTTGTCTTAATTACATCTGCAAAATCCCTTGATCTTTGCCCTAGGATGTTATCTTAACATGGCCTGACATCCCATTGTATTCATAGGTTCTGTTCCCCAAGGGGAGGGGGTTAGACAGAGAGGAAGCAGGGCAGGGGGATCTCTGGGCATCTTAGCATCCTGCCTGTCACATGTGGGTACAGCTGGGCCCCAGACCACCCACTGACGTGCTTAAAGGTGGTGATTCTAGGTGCAGTGGTAGCAGGAGCCCTTTAGAACCCTTGCTGTGTGTGAGCACAGGAAACCATCTTTCACTCTCATGACAAGCCTGGGAGGTTGATTGACATGGGCCCAGGGAGAGGGTTTGAGCGGAGCAGGGCCTATGTAGGGGGAGCGGGGATCAGGAAGTGACTGTTGGGCAGGAGGGATGTCGCTCCTGCAGGTGGCCATTCAGGCATGAACGCTGGTCATAAGGCTCCGCCTGTCCGCGGCCCAGTTCCCCATTAGGGCTGCGGAGCTGCAGGCACTAACGGCATCGGGGCATTGCCCAATGACCAGGGCCCCCAAAGGCCCCAGCTGAGGGGGGCGGGCTGGGCTCATAGAAGTCAAGTTCTGGGTGCTTCCTACCCACAAGTTTTACCAAGCCTGTCTCGTGACTCTGGGGGTGTTCTTGTTTTCACTTTCAGAAAGGGAAATGGAGTCTCAGTGAGACCCAGAGGCTCCTTATGTGGTGAGGCCCTGGGGGACAGGGCTCAGGGTCTGCAGGCAGGTGCGGGCCTGGGTGGTTCTGCCCAGTGGAAGCCCAGGGTTTCTGAGTATCTCAGCTTCTCAGGTCTCTGGGGTGCATCCTTGACTCGGCCCTGCTTCGCGGAATCTCTGCACTCTGGGCCCTGGGCAGGCAGGACCTCATGGTGGAGTCTTGGTTCAGAGCAGGAAGTCTGATAATATGGAGGCTGGGGAAACTGAGGCCAGCAGAGGCTTTCCAGGGATTACCCGATGTGTTGGTGGCTGACATCATGTGGCCAGGACTTCCCCAGGTATGGCCAGCATCTCTGACTGGGTGGCCGCCTGGGAAGGAAGCGGTTGTGTGGCTTCTGGGTGGCCTCTCTGAGGTCTGACTGTCCCGCAGGTATGCCTTCACTGTGGTGGCCAACATCACCGTCTTTGGAGCTGCCTGGCTTCTGCTACACCTGCAGGGTTCATCCACCGGCCCCACCAAGGATGTCAACGACCACCTGGGGGTCCAGGATGTGCCAGTGTTCCGGGTGAGCTGAGGGGGCTGGGAGAGGTGTTTCCAAGGTCCTGAACTCAGGGTTTGGGCCAAGTGTCACTGCTGACCCCTCTCCTACCCGGTCCCCAGAACCTCTCCCTGCTGGTGGTGGGTGTTGGAGCTGTCTTCTCACTGCTGTTCCACCTGGGCACCAGGGAGGGGCGCCGGCGGCAGGTGGAGGAGCCTGGTGAACACAGCCCCCTGTTGGCTCCCTCTACCGCCCAGCCCTTGCTGCTCTGGAAACACTGGCTTCGGGAGCCGGCCTTTTATCAGGTATGACAGCGGGGGGAGGGGGGTCAAAGAGGGTTGGGGTTTATGCTCCTCCCCCACCAGGGCCCTCACTGTGCGGGGCTGCAGGCAGAGACAGCAGACACTAGAGCAAACGTACCCCTTCCCCAGTCCACACCCAGGACAGACATTACTAATAGATCCCTGCCATCTTCTCCACCTGACCAGTTAGGCAGTCACTACTAATGGTCAGGTGCCAGCTTCAGGGTGGCAAGCTGCAGGGTGACTCATCCTGACTTGCCACTCTGTCCCCCGGCCCCATGCTCCCTCTGTGTTCCTAGGTTGGCCTGCTGTACATGAGCACGAGGCTCATTGTGAACCTGTCCCAGACATACATAGCCATGTACCTCACCTACTCCCTCCACCTGCCCAAGGTGAGCCGGGCGGGCAGGCTGGGGCAGGGGTCCCTGAGCCTGCTGAGCAGGGCCTGATGTGTCTGCGCCCTCTCCACCCCACAGAGGTTCATCGCTACCATCCCACTGGTGATGTACCTTAGCGGTTTCTGCTCCTCCTTCCTCATGAAGCCAGTGAACAAGTGCATCGGGAGGAATGTGAGTGGGGAGGCGGGGTGCCCCCAGAACCTGGGCAACTCCGGACAGGGCATCCACATCCTGGAGGAACCCCAGGATGGGAAACAAGTTGTAGAACCTGGGCTTTGAGCACCCTGTATCCACCCACAGCCCTCTAGAGGTCAGGAGTGGGGGTGGCAGGTATGACTGAGGAACCAAACACTTCACTTGATTTCCTTTATTAACTCGTGTTGAGACATGAGTAGCCACCAGTCTCTAGTGGCAGCCATGACAGACAGCTTAGCTGTAGAACATGCGCTCCATGGATCACTCAGTATCAGCAGACTCAGAACCTTGGAATTCTCTGAGGTCAGAGTTGGGGGCTCCTTAGGGATGACCCAACTCAGTCCTCTTGTTTGCTGGGGCTGGGGGCTGGATTGGAGACCAGAAAGGGCTGGTGTCCAGCTCAGGCCTGCCCAATGAGGTGGGCCCGACGCTGGGCTGGGTACTCTGCAGATGACCTACTTCGTGGGCCTCCTGGTGATCCTGGCCTTTGCAGCCTGGGTGGCGCTGGCAGAGGAGCTGGGCGTGGCTGTGTATGTGGCGGCTGTGTTGCTGGGCATGGGCTGTGCCACCATCCTGGTCACCTCGTTGGCCATGACAGCTGACCTCATTGGCCCTCACACGGTAGGGCTGCTGAGTGGGGCCAGGTTGAGGCTGGGGACCAGGGCTGAGGCCTGGGGTGCTGAGCCCCCTGCCTCTGTCCCCCCAGCACAGTGGAGCGTTCGTGTACGGCGCCATGAGCTTTTCGGACAAGGTGGCCAATGGGCTGGCAGTTATGGCCATCCAGAGCCTGCACCCCTGCTCGTGAGTACCCCATCCAGCCGTTGTCATGTCTAGTAAGGTGTGCCAAGCCTGTGCTGTATGCCAGGTACTGCCCGCAGTCTGTGGGATCCATGACCGACAGAAGATCCCAACACAGTGGTGGTGGCCTTGGAGTCAGGGAGACCAGGTTATTCCCCACTTCAAGCACCCATTTATTCAGAGTGGACAGTGTGTCCTGTGCTGGGCGCTGACGACACAGATGGGTTGAGTGACGGGAGTGGGGAAGCCTGGAATCCCTGTCATTCAGACCCTTAGGCCTTAGGGTTCCAGGCACATTAATATCCCATGAATAAATGTGTACAAGGGCATGAAGGACACCACTTAGGGAGGCCTGACTAGGGCAAGAGGTCAGGAAGGGCTTCCTTGAGGTGACATGGGATCCGAGACTTGGGGGATGTCAGGGATTTCTAGGTAAATGGAGAGGAAGAGCCTGTGCAAAGGCCCTGGAGCAGGACCAGGCCTGGTGTGTTGAAAGAACAGTGGAGAAGGCCTGGGTGTCTGGAGAGTGAGGAGGCCAGGGCAGGGAGGGGATGGTGCAGGTCGTGCCGGGGCAGCAGCAGGGGAGGATGACTGCAGGGGTGGGGGCTGGGGTGGGGTGGCTCAGAGCTCTGTGGGCAGAGGAGGTGACTCAGTTGCTCACTCCGCCCTCTAGTGGCTGCTGGAAGGACAGATGGGGCAGTGAAGCTGGGAACACCAGGTGGGGACTAGGGTATAGGGTGGTGGGGGTGGTGCTGGGCTGGACTGGGTTGGGGCTCCCGAGGGAGGACAAATGGGGAGTCTAGGATAGACTTTGAAGGCAGAGCTGACCTTACTGGGTGAGGTATCAGATGCTGGAGGAGATAAAGAGGTGGAGGGTGAGCCCTGGCCCTGGCCTGAGTGCTGAAAAAGCTTGGGCACCAGCTGAGAGGAGCAGGAGGTCCAGCCTGGGGCCGAGGGTACCTAGTGATAGCTCTCACTCCCTCTTGCTCCTCCCCAGCTTGGAGCTCTGCTGCAAAGCCTGTGTGGCTTTCTACCACTGGGTGATGGTGGTCGTCACAGGCGGTGTGGGCGTGGCCGCCACCCTGGCTCTGTGCAGTCTCCTGGTCTGGCCCATCTGCCTTCGGAGATGTGAGTCATAGGCGCCCCCACCCCACAAAAACCCCAACCAGTCCTGGGTGGTGGTAGGTCTGGGATGGCGGGGCCAGAACTGGCCAGCCCATGCCCCCAACCCCACTCCCACCCCTTCTCTTGCAGGGGACCCTGGAGCCTAGCCCTGACCCCACCCCGTGGTCCCTTGCCCTTTGTAAATTAACCTCGACTGTGAACATCTGATGCCCAGAGGTCTGGAGCAGCGCCTCCACTCCCTCCCCTGCCTTGTCCTGTCTCTGCCTGGCTGTGGGTGGAGGTCAGAATGGGTGAGGTCCCAGCAGCTTATCCTTGCTGGGGTAAGGGGAGGACACGGAACTGGCGGGATCCTTATGGTTTGGTGTACTCCAGTGCCAACTCTAACCCACCCCCCACCGTCTGGATGATGGGGGTGCTTTGTGTTATGTGGGGCTGGATATGAGGGTCCTAGGCCCAGGGGCTGCATGGAGCTCGGCCCTGGCTAGCCAAGGGTTTCCCGGGTGCCACCAGGCCCTGGAGGACAGAGCTGTTGCTGAGCCTGCCAGGAGCTCCAACCTCGGGGTTGGGGGGCCGGGCCCAAACCCTGGCCTTGGAGGCGACGAGGCTCAGCGTGCCTGGCTGGGGTCCCCAAGTGCAATCCCCTGCGCCCAGGCCACTGCTGACCATGAATAAAGAGTTGCCTGGGGCCAGGACTGTGCCTTGGCGGTTTGCCTGGGGCCCGGGGCAGGGCCGGAGTGGGCGTCTGTCTGCCTCTGCCTCGAGCTTGGTCACCAGGGTCTCCCTTTATCTGACTGCCCCCAGGCCTCGGCCCCAGAGGTGGACGGACGCCCAGGGCGGGTGGGAGTGGTGGCGCCTGCGCCCCTGCAGAGCCGCGTCGGGCAGCAGCACGATCTTTATCAGTGACTGGGTGTGTAGACGGGCGGGGGCCGCTGGTTGGTAGCGGGACAGTAGGGTTCCAGGCCCCACTGCCGGTAGTTCTGGGCGGTGTAGCGCGGGCGCTGGGGCGCTGACAGGTACCGCACGTAGTCAGACGCCCGCCATAGCGGTTCCACCCCGAAGCGGCGCCTGTTGACGGCTGCGGGGCGGGGCCAGGACCCGGGTCACGGCTGGCCCCGCCCCCGGGCGGTCCCGCCCCGAGCCCCGCCCCCTGCCCCGGGCCTCACCGAATTCTTTGCCCCTGATGGGCCTGTCCTTCCACAGCACGCTTCCCCACCGAGTGCTGGGGTCTGTGTACTGCGCGGGGATGATGGGGTCGTACCAGGCCGTCTCCCGCACACGCTGGGTGTAGGCTGCGGGGTGGGGGTTGGGGTCAGCTCCTCACCTCCGGCCCCACCTGTTTTCCAGGCCTGGGGATGGTGGGGGAAGGTAGGAGCGGGAGGGGACGGGCGCTCACCCGAAGGCAGGCCGTGCTCCCGGTGGCCATAGCATCCGTGCCAGCGGGAATAAGCTTCACGGTACGGGCTGTCCGGAGTCCGTGGGAGCGTGTACCAGGATTCCCGAGAGTCCGAGTTGGTCAGGCCCGTGTAACATAGCTGGCCGGCCGCATCGCGTCCCATGGGTGTGTACTTCCAGCGCGTGGCCTGCTTGATGGCCGGAGTCCAGCGGGGCCCCTCCTGGGACAGGTAGTCATCGCTGTGGGGCGGGGGGGGCGGCGCGGGAGGAGAGAGACTGAGCTTGCAGCCCCCCTGCCCTCCCTGGGCCTCTCTCTATCCTCTTTGCTGGCATCCGGGTGCAGGAGGCTGCCCCCTGGTAGCCCCTCCTCTCTACCCCATCCTCCCCGACCCCCAGGAGCCTCTTAAATGCTGCTTCACCTTTTCTGCTTTTCTTGCCTCTACTAAGTCCCTCACAGATCTGCAGGCCCTTTCCTCCAGGAAGCCACCCTGGCCTGGAAGTGTACTGGGAGAAAGTGGTCTCAGCTACAGCTGAGCGAGTGGCCCAGGTTTCACTGTGACTGGTCTGACTTGGAAGCCATAGGCTGGGGATCCAGGGAAAGCGTGTGGAGAGGCCCAGGCTCCCAGGAAGTCGCCTCACCAGTCCTCTAAGTCCCCAGGGACACCTAGGCGCTAAGACTGGCTCACGTTTAAAGCACCTATGCCTCCTGTTCCAGGGTCCTCTGGTACCAGAGCCTCTCCCAGGCTGAGCGCCTCAGGGCGGCTTCCCAGAGAAGGTAGCAGTGATGTGAGGCACGCAGCTCATGCAAAGGTCCTGGGGCAGCGGGGGAAGATATAAGAACTGAGGCTGGCAGAGCCGAGGGAAGTAGAAATATGCTGATGGTGACACTAACACCTCAAGGAGGCGTCATTAAAACTAAAGCTCCCCTTCCAGACATCCTGGCAGTACCACTGCCTGGGGGACAGAGGTGAGCATGTGTGGTGTGACCTGGCAGTCTAGCTCCAGGGACATGGGTGCCCCAGGGAATGAGCCTGTGACCCCAAGATGGTGCCAGCAGGGCTGCTGACTAAACCATCTCCTATGTGCCTGCTTGGGGTTCTCACCCCACAGGGCAAACCAGAAAGAGGAGAGCGTGGCCTGCTGTGTTTGGGGCACAGGTCTTGGGAAGTGGCCGTGGGCTGGGTTTGCTGCTTGCAAGGAGGGGAGTTGCGGGACCCTCTGGCGGGCCCCACCCTTTTGAGCTACAAAATGAACTGGAACCACAAAGTGCACGTGGTTTGTGGAAAGGAATTTAAACAGTCTAAAACAACACACAATGAAAAGTATCTGTGTCAATTATTACCTCAAAAAATAAAAACACTGCATTACAGCTGAAAGAAAAATGTTTTTCTTCTAATAAATGAAGCCTTCTAGGTCTTGAATCTGGAGACCTACTGGCGTTTCAATAAATATGCTCTGCTTAGTTGCTCAGTTGTGTCCGACTCTTTGCAACCCCATGGACTGTAGCTCGCCAGGCTCTTCTGTCCATGGGGATTCTCCAGGCAAGAATATTGGAGTGGGTTGCCATGCCCTCCTCCATGGGATCTTCCTAACCGAGGGATGGAAGCCAGGTCTCTTGCATTGCAGGTGGATTCTTTACCAGCTCAGTCACCAGGGAAGCCCAGCGTTTAATAAAGCCCTGAGAAAAGATCATCCCCCATCCTGGCTGCCAGCCCTCACTGCTGTCCATTCCCTTGCAGCAGTACTGTCTGCACGCACCTGTGTCCCACTGCACACCTGTGGGACCCTGCTTCAATCGAGGTGGCACAGGTTTTCTTAATTTTCTTGGAAATGCAGCACCCAGGGGGCTTGCTCACGTTTTTTTGTAAAGCTGCATAGTATTATAGTTTATTCATGATTAATGGATCCTCTAATGGGTTGAAGGTGTCCCCCAAGTTCCTGTCTACCTGCAATCTCAGAATGTGATCTTATTTGGAGATATGGTCTTAGCAGATATAACTCCAGAGGGGGTGGGGCTTCCCTGGGGGCTCAGTGGTAAAGAATCCACCTATGCCAATGTAGGAGACATGTAATCCCTGGTCCAGAAAGATCCTACATGCCGTGAGGCAACTAAAGCCCGTGTGCCTACTGAGCCTGTGCCTTCAAGCCCAGGAGTCACAACTACTAAAGCCTGAACACTAGAGCCTGTGCTCCACAGCAAAAGAACCCGCTGTAATGAGAAGCCCGTGTAGCAACAAAGACCCAGCACAGTCCAAACAAGGGTCACGCTGGGTCAGGAAGGCCCTAACATGACCCTGATGCAGACTCCCAGTAAGGTAGGGGATCTGGACGGGGAGGGGAGAAGGTCACGTGATGTGGAGGCAGTGTGGGTGATGCCTTTACAAGCCAAGGGATGCCACAGACTGCCGGCACCCCAGAGCCCAGAGGACAGGCGCCCCCTTGTGGCCTCAAGAGGCCCCCAACCCTGCAGACAGACGGCTTGCTCTTGGACTTCCGGCACCCCAAGAAGGGAGAGTGTATTCTGTGCCCCTTGTGGAGACTGGTCCAGCAGCGTGGGGTTCACAGGACCCTCTGCTCTGCCGGCTGTGTGTGCGCGCACACAATGTGTGTGTTGTGCAGGCATGAACCACCACGTGAACCTGCAACGACTCCTGCCAGGTCTCCAGCCAGGCACGGGCGGGAGGGGATGGGTGCCGGGAGCAGCCAGGTTAGGACAGGGAGGCTTTATGAAGGACTAAGGCTGGTGGGAAGCAAACCCGGGGGGGGCGGCACAGGGCAGCACATGCTCACCTGTAGAGAGGTGGAGGGAAATCCACTTCCAGGGTCCCCCGGGGGACACAGGGCCAGGCAGCCTGCCGCCTCATGGTCTGCATGTCTGCCTCTGCGTGCCTGGGGGCTCCTGCCTCCAAGTCCTGTGGGGCCATTGTTGACAGCGACAAAGGCCACCCCAGTGTCCTGGCAACAGCTGGGCCTACTGGCCCCCAGCCAAGCCACTGCCTCCCTCCCTCAGGAGACGGGCCTGCAGTGGAGCTCCTGGGTGGGGCCGGCCTGGGGCTCGGTCCACCCACCTCTTCTCTGTCCCCCAACACCCCCACAGGGGCATCTTGGAACAGAACCAACTTTCTGAATTTCCCTTCCACAATTTCAGCTCCACCTTCTCCCTGCATCTAGTCCCTTTACCCAGTTTGACAGTCTGCACACGTGTGTTCACAACAGCACGAACCACCACAGCCAGAGTGGAAGCAACCCAAACGCCCAACCGCAGAACAGAAACCCCAAGCAGGGTTCCTCCATGCTGGGGAACGTGTCTCAGCACAGAATGGAGTGACGCACTGACACGACCCTGAGAACACGACGCTCATTGAGAGAAGCAGACACAGAAGGGCACACGGGGTATGATTCCACTGATGGGAAACGTCCAGAACAGGCCTATCCACAGACACAGAGTGGGTTCCTGATTGTCAGGGGCTGGGGAGGGGGAAGAGGGGGTGACTGCTGATGGGGACAGGGCTTCTTTTCGGGGATGGAAAATTCTGGAACTGAAGAGTGATGATGGTAGCACAACATAGTATACATACTAAAAACATGCTGAATTGTACACCTTAATGTTATGCACATTTCACCATACACACAAAAATTAACAAATCCAGAACCTGCTTTCACCATCTCCAGTGGCTTGAGCCACAGTCCTGCCAGCACCTGCCAGGGCACAGCCTCCTCCCTGGTCCCTTCCCACCTGTGTCCAGGTCTCCACACAGCAACCTGGTCCGTTCCACCTCCTTGGGGGTAAAAGCCCAAATCTTCTCCTCAGCCCACCAGGCCCTGCCTGACCTCCCCCATGCCCTCCCTTCCTTCCCCTCCTTCCTCTCCCCCACTTGCTCATTCTGTTCCACACACACAGGCCTCTCTCCTCTGTTCCTCCAACATGGTCCTGCCCCAGGGCCTTTGCACAGCTATGCCCACAGCTTGGGGCACCACCTCAGCGTGGCTGTGTCCGTGCCCCACACTGGACCCTTGCTCCCACCTCAGCCCTGGGCTTAGAGCTGCCTCTTCCCAAGGCCTCCCCGCCCCCCGTTTCATGCTGTGCCTGCCACATGCACTTAACACTCTACTGTCCACTCACCTGCACGACAGAAGCTGCTCAAGGGCAGGTCTGGACTCTGGCCTCCCTCGTCCCCGCTGCCCAGGACAGAGATTTTCACAGGACGTACCACCAGTCATGGGCATCTGCTCACTGCAGGGGCCTCACCTCGTTTCTTCTCAGGACCCTCTGGGGTCCCCACCTAGGCGGCCCATCCAGTGTCGCAGCCCCTCCAGCCTGGTTGCTTTCCTCCCTGTCTCACCTTCAGCTGTCACTAACACCCTTCCCCTTTGTCAGTCTAGGAGCAATTGAAACAAGTCCTAACCCCCAAGGCCCCCCCACAAGCCCAGGGCACTGAGTCAGTCCTTGCTGTCTATTCACCCCACCATCCCTGGGTCCACCCTCTCACTCCCACAGAACCTGCCACAAGCTGAGCTGCAATGACTGGCATAGATCAGGGATCCAGGCATTCAGGGACACTGGCAGTCCCTGTTGACCACCTGCAAGGTGGCCTCTTCAGCCTGTCACCGCCTGCTTGTGACATTCAGGCTGCTCTGGGGTTATGGTGAGTGCGGACCATCAGTGCCAAACACATCGACAGACTGATAGCCCCACTGGGCATGACGATGTGGTTGGCTCTCCCACCTGCCACCCACTCCCATGCCCAGCCCCGCCATTGCATTGGAGGACAACACATGCTTCATCATTTCTGCCCTGTCTGTGCCCTCAGGTACGGGGCCCACAAGCAGAGCCAGGGCAGGTGCGGTAGACACTGGACTGTTTTCTTATTAAAAAAAGACTCAAACAAAAACAAGACCTGGACCAATGGGCATACACATGTCTATATACACTGTCCCTCTGCCCCCTGCAAGTAGCTGGGGGCAGGCCCACCCTTCCCCAAGTTCAGGCACCCGCACACCCTCTGAATGCTAGGGCTTTAAGAGCTGTGACCCCTGTCTTCCCCAGGGGTGGGGGCAGGTCAGTGCTCCCTGCCAGTGAGCCTTAATATTTGGGGACTGATTTACAGAAACACAAAAACAAATCCAAAGGAAACTCACAAATACGTATGTACACATGCACACACTGGCTGCTGAGGGGCAAAGGTACTCAGAACCAAGAGCAGGGCTCCTGCAGGGCCCGCCCCACCCTGTCCACGCCCATCCATGTCCTCCCACCTCAGAAGGGGAGGCGGAGGCAGCTGCTTGGGCCCTTGGCGACACCTGCCTCGCCTCCCTCCTCCGTCTCCTCCAGGTGCAGCAGAAACAGGGTGGAGGATGACAGGGAGGTGGACCCAGAGCCAGGGGAAGCTCAGGAAACTTCTTGGGGACCCTGGGGTGCCCCCTGTCCTGGCTGGAGGTGCAGATAGGACCCACTAGGGTAGCCTGGAAGGAAGGGCTGGGAAGGGCCAGGCATCCACAGGACCTGACCCTTGGGGTCGAGTCTGCCCTCAGGCTACCCTGACTGGTTACCCTGCAAGCGCCAAGAATCCCAGTTGCCTGTGACCCTGTGAGCAACGAGGGCTCAGCCGGGGTGAACACGTGACAGCGGACAGACTCCCCCTAGAGTTCTCCTCAGTTAACAAGTCCACCTTGAGATGACCTCTGGCATGTAGCCTGCCTGGGGGCCTGCTCCCAATGTCGTGCACTCAGAGTCAGCGGGGGGCTTTCGGGTCAGGGAGAGCAGAGGCAGCTGCAGAAAGACCCCTCAAGAGGGCAAGTCCCTGTGAGCCCTCCTGGCCGACTGGCGTGGTGTCCAGCTGTCCTGTCCTGCAGCAGGCGTGGGCAGCAGCGGGCACATGCTTCCGGGCATAGCATGCAGCCCTGATGAGGCAGTGGTGGTGACGGATGATGGAAATGGCCAGTCCAGCAATCGTCCTGCTCTGGGCACTGTCCAAGCCGGGGCCGCCCAGGGTGGGGAGCCAGAGCCCCACTCCTGCTGCTGCCCGCCCCGGCCCTGCCCCAAACACCGGCCAACAGGGTTCGCAATCAGGCTTTAATGGAATCTTCAGGGTCTCTCCAGGCCAGGCTCCCGCCCCACCCTGCTGCTGATCTTGGGCCCGTGTTGGGGGGAGCAGAGGGTCCATGCACGCTGACAAGGTGTTGCTCTGCGACCAAGACGGCCGGTAGCTGTGGGTTTACCGGATCCTAGTGAAGAGGTTGAGGACAGACACGGACTCCTGCAGGATACACAGGGATGATGCTGAGCCCTCAGCCCAGCCCCGCCGTTCAAGCGTGGGAGGGAAGTTCTGCCCAGAGGGACCCCGAGGCTCTGGGCCAGAGGAGGGGCCTGTGCGGGCACCTGGCATGGTGAGGGCCCCAGGATGTGCAAGGGGGCCAGGCGATGCAGAAGCAGAGAGGGGTGGGGGTTCTGGAGAGATCCTGGCTGGCAGGGCGGGGCAGGTGGGGGGGGCCCAGAACATGCGGGGGGCACACAATTGGGAACATCTGGTGCTGATACCGACCCACTTTACCTTTGTTGAACGGGTTTTGCTAAAGACATTCCAGAACCTCAGTGTCTCATCTCCAGCACCGGTGACGATGGCCTCTCCATCAGGGGACATGGCCTACGGGAGGAGAGAGAGGCCACTGTCCCCGCAGCTGCAGGCACCCGGGGAAAACACAAAGGACATCCTGCCTGCTGTAACGAGGGATGATCTCTCTGTGTGATTCGGCAAAGGACTCGCTGGCTTAAGGACAAAAGTTTTTTTTGGAAAACACCAAAATGTTGACGAGGGCATGTGTGTGAGGAGAGGGGCTCCTATCTCCAGACACATGAGAACGGTTACTTAGTGAACCATCTAGAGATGACATGAGCAAGTACACGGGGGTTATCTGCAGCAGCTTCCATTTCCATGTAGAAGCAGACACCTAGAGATCACACAGTGGGCAGAGCCACCCTTGCTCACAGGGCAGGGAGCTGGTGAAACAGACTCAGAGTGACAATGCCTCAACCTGTCACTTGGTCCGGGGGCCCGAAGCTGGCCCAGAGCGGAGGACAGACCTGGGCAGCTTGGCGTACTGCCTCTTGGGCCTGGCAGGCAGACTCACCAGATACAGGACCCGATAGGAGTGCCCGGTCAGCTTGGCCACCTGGGTCAGAGAGGGATACTTCCAGACCAGGATCTGGTTCTGTGAGTAGCCGTGCGTGCTCACCTAGGGGACAGAAAGGGCACTATGCCGGCGTCCCAGGCCCCTAGACACATCCACAAGGCACAAGAGCACTAGGGCCTGCCTGAAGGGTACAGAGACCAGCAGGTGACATCCACCAGCCCGGCTCCCTGGTCCATGATTGGACTGACACAGGGACCAATTGCCCATGAGAGCCCTTGGGCTTCTCTGGGGGTCACTGGGTGTGGGCGCCTGGGTGAGGTTCTGCCAGACCCGTCCTGTACCCCACCACTCACCAGCTCGTTGGCGTGCTTGGACCAGGCCAGGTTGCACACCTGGGAGCCGGTGTCAATGCACTGTAGTGGCTGCCCCGTGAGTGTGTTCCAGAAGCGGATGCAGCGGTCAGCCGTGCCACCCCCGGACGCCAGCAGCCCGTGCTGGTGGGGGGACCAGGCGATGGCCTTGACGGCGGCCAGGTGCTCCGTGTACTGCTGCACGGGGCTCAGGCTCGAGTGGTTCCACACCAGCAGCTGTGGGGACGGGGCCGTGAGACTGGCGTCCCTCGGGGCACACCCCCGTCACCCTGCTCCACAGAGGGGGCTGCAGGGAGTGAGGAGCTGGCCTACCTTGTTGTCGTTGCCTCCCGAGGCGAGGAGCTGGTGGTCGGTGGACCACTTGAGCCCGCACACCTCTTGCCGGTGGCCCTGCAGCCGCCGCTCTGACTGCAGCGGGGGCGTGCGGATGTCCCTCTGCAGGATCATGCGGTCCCGGCTCCCGGACGATAGCTGGTCAGCGTTCCAGGCCAGCGCCCCTGCGGCCAGGTGGAGGGCAGGCTGAGGATGCGGCCTGGCCCTGCAGCACACCCCCACCCTTGCCCCCAGGTGGCTCCTCACCGACACGCGCGGTGTGGCCTTCCAGCATGGACAGCTTCTTCCCCGCAGCGGCGTCCCAGATCTGCACGAAGCCCTTGTGTGTGCCGACAGCCACCAGGTTCCCCTAGAATGGCAACATGGGCTGGTGTCAGGTCCAGCATGGGGCCCTCCCCTCCCCCTCCCCCCAAAGTCTCTTAACGCATGTGCCATTGGATCCCTCTCCTAGGAACCCGGCAGATAGTCATGTGGAGCTTAGGTTTGTTAAAACCCACATGACATGTGCAGAGATCCACACGCATTAACGTGTGGAGCAAACTTGCCTGCCCCCGTGTCTGTCATCTAACCACCTGCACCAGGCTGGGGACAGCCAGGGTGCAGACATCACTGGGGCTGGACAAATGACCATAAGGCTCCTTCTGGGTGTGCAAGGCCCCCACCACTGTGGAAGCCCCTCCAGTGAAGTCCAGTCACACCTCCCCTTTGCCAACCCTGCCCAGCAAGGGGATGGAGCTGGTGTACTGACCCTCTCAGACCAGCCCACGGAGGTCACTGAGTCCCCTTCCACGGAGAGGTCACAGAGCCGGGTAACCTGGTGGAAGGCGTAATGTTGGTGTGACAGACGTGGGGCCCACTCCTCCTTTAAGGCCCAGATTGTCTATCCATCCATCCACCCACCCCTTCACTCTCTCATTCCCTCACACCTCAGGCCTGTGAGCAACGGCCTCACTGTGGGCCCCAGGAGGTAGCTGGGAGCTTGGGGACACACACAAGCACAGTGATGCTGACTGCACAGCCAGGGGGCACGGGCATCACAGCCGGGGGGCCCTGCAGCAGGCGTTGGCCACGGGCTGTACGGGATGTGTATGTGGGTGTGCTGGTGTCCCTGTGGGGGGCTCCACTCGCTTTCTCTGAACCCACCAGCATGTATTTCTGTCCCTCAAACATGCCACCCTGTGCTTTCTCTGAACCCACCAGCATGTATTTCTGCCCCTCAAACATGCCACCCCGGGGGCCAGCAGCCACTCAGAGGAGGGGGAGTTACTGCTGGGTGGGGGGCCCTGTGCTCAAGCCAGGAGCAAAGACTCTAACTCCCAGAAGCCAGCCTGGGGCAGGGATGGTCTACACCCTGAGGAGACGGGAGTAGGAGGAGGGGGTGGCTGGGAACTATCCAGGCCCCAGCAGCTCCCCCATTGCTCACACAGGGCCCGGCCTGGCTTGGCGGCTCCCTAGCACCACTCCCCGCAACACACACACGTGTGCACGCGCTCAGCAGCACCCACTTGGCTGGTGCAGGCACTCCACAGGTATACGCAGGTCCCCAGCCCCACGCTGAGCACGTTGAGGGAGGACCAGTCCACCAGGTTCAGGTAAAAGTCGTCCTGCAGCTCAGGAGCGTCCAGGACCTTGAAGGGGATCTTGGAGATCTTGCGCGTGGGTTTCCGTGGAGACCGCAATAACTTCTGACTGCAGGGCGGGGGCGGGGCAGTGGCTTTGCAGTGACTGCACAGACTTCACAGTCTCCCTTTCCAGCAGCCCCCGGTGTTTCCTACTCATCCTGACTGACACTCTTTGACTCCAGAACTGTGGGTGACCGCATGGCTACCGGCCCTCCGGCATGGGTGCTCAGCCGCCCTGAGCTCCAACAACCCACTTCCCCTCTGCCTGGAGCCTCCTCCAGGAGCCTCCCTGACCTGTGCACAGCCCCCAGCATTGCCCCCTCCCCACCTGGTGCAGGTCTGGACTCACCTCTTATTGCTGACGGGGGACAGGGAGTACGGGGACACGTCATTGCCATCATCGGGGCTAGAGCGCTTGGTGCTGAGGGAGTACTGCAGGTGGGGGACACCTCTGAGCGGATGCTGTGCCCCAAAGCCCCGGTGCCCTGAGCCCCTGGCAGGGGAGCACACAGGGCGCCAGACCAGAAGCGCTCTGACTGGAGACGCGTGTCCCCAGCAAACCAGGCCTGGCCCCCGAGGTGTCCTCCCACAGGCTTGCTGGTGTCCGCCCATCTCTCCTGCCCCCACAGCCACCAGCCCCTCAACTCAGGGTCAGGGGAGACCCAAGCCGGGCCTCTGATGCTGCCCTGGGGCTCACACGTGAAAGGGGTGGTGGGTGGCTTGCAGTGAGCCTGGCGTGAGGCAGGGGTTAAAGGGGCCCCCACCCTCTGGGACTCCAGCCCCGGGCAGGGCTGTGCAGGAGGCGGCGGCGGCCAGCGGGCTCACCGTGAAGAGGCCCTTCCTCTCAGGCGTGGAGGGCTGCAGCCGGCGGTCCTCTGTCTGTGGGTCCTGAACCTTCTCAATGCCAGCGCCCAGCAGCTCGTTCTTAAGCAGCGCCGAGTAGGCCAAGCCATCTGTGGGCACCAAGCTCTGTGAGGCCAGGCTGGGGTGAGGGGCTGGGGCCAGGGGGACCTGAGTGCTGACCTTTGCCATTGTCCGAGGTGGCATCCTTGGCTTTCCGGTTCTGGCTGGGGGATTTTTCATTTTCCTGTGGGTGGAGAGGGGAAGGGTGAGTGAGTGGGAAGGCTGCACAGACAGGGTCTCACCCTCCGCCCTCCGGCAGCCCCTCACATTGATCCTGTGGAAGTTCACGCTCCAGTTGGCACCGGCTCGTGAGGGGATGAAGCGGTCTCCGTGCTTGCTGGGGGAGGACACAGGAGAGTTGGCAGGGGTCAGGGTTCGCCGCATCTCCGCCACCTGGAAGGACGGCAGGGTGGGCTGGGTGCCTCAGAGCCCCAAGGCCACTGTCTCCTTCCTGACTGAGGCCCCGCCCACTATGTCTCCTTGTCCGTGGCCTCTGGCTGAGGATTCGATCTTGGGAGTAACCCATGTGCTGGCGCCTGTGAGTGGCACCACGTCTGAGGCTCAGTTCGTGTGTCCCACTCCCTGGCAGGAAGAGGCCAGAGATCGAGAGCCCAAGTGTGGGCATCGCCACGATCTGCAGTCCATTTCCCAGGGTCACACACGGACAGAAGAGTTGACAGCACAGAACGCAGAGCGTCCAGCCTGTGGTCCCGCCACCCACATCCCCACACAGTCTCTTCCCGGGCCCCGGCATCAGGCAGTGGGAATGTCCCAGGAACGTCTTCTCTCCTATAAGGGAGGTTCAACTGTGCTCCCCAGAGAGATATGCTGAGGTCCCGGCCCTGGGACCTGGGGTGCAACCTTAACTGGAAATAGGGTCCCTGCAGGTGTTCTCAAGTTAAGATAAGCTCACACTGGAGCAGGGCGGCCCCAAACCTAAGGCCTGTGTCCTCAGAGGAGACAAGAGACATCAGCTCACAGAGGAAGGGGATGCAGAGACAAGGCAGAGGTGGGGCGGACAGGTCTGTGGGCCAAGGAGTGCCAACAGCCCCAGGCACTGGAAGAGGCGGGAAGGAGCCCACTCTGGACAGCCTGCACAGAGCCAAGAGTGCTGAGAAGCGGTGGGCACAGCCTGCCACATTTGGGAGCCTACAAATGGCGGAGGGGGTGGGAGCTTGGGAAAGAGCAAAACAGCTCCCCCCGTTCCTCTGTCCCAGTCCCCCAGAGAATGAGGGGTCTGTGGCCCCAGCAGCAGAGGAAGTGTGGGGAGGTGCTGGGCGGGGTTCACACCTGGGTGTGACCATGCTGCCACCGTGGGGGAGAACGTGTGTCACCTGTTGGGCACCTCTGTTCTCAAGGGACAAAGGCTGAGCACACCTGGGCCCCCACCAGCTCCACCCCACAGGCTCCACTGGGCAGGATGGCGCTGGCACGCCGGCCCCAGCACTCACGCACGGCATCGTGTTCTCATTCTGGATGACGATCTGCCGCAGGAGGCGCCGCTCATAGTCCTGGTCCATAGTGAGGCGGGCAGGCACGGCCTTCCAGCCGTGCTCAGCGGCCCCGGACGGCCTGGTGGGGAGAGGGGGAGAGGTCAGCACTGGCAGACAGTGGCCCCCTGGTCGCTGGTGACCACGGGGTACCCTGGGCGACAGCCAAGTCCCCTAGCCATGTGGGGCCTTCCCCCAGGAGCCTAGAGGGCCGTGATGGGGCAGACAGGCTCCTCTCTGGTTGTCCTGTGGGGAACCTGCCCCCGGCCCCCTCCTCTTCCCACACAGGCCCCGGTGCCTAGAACCCATGCTCCACAATAAGAGAAGCCACCACAACAAGAAGCCCACAGTATCGCCACCTCTGGACCACATCCTCGCTCCTGGGGCCCCTAGAGGGAGAAGGAGTGGTGCTGATGCCTCTTCCTCTAAGTAGAGCAGCTTTGGTCCCAAAGCACAGAAGAGGGTGCAGGGGTGGGCAGGGGGTCCATCAGCTGCCTGGCCCTCCCCACGGAGCTGACTGGGCACGAGGCCTGCCTGGTGGAGGGACGTCGCCGCCAGTGGACAGACTGGTCCCCCGCTAGGTCCCCCAGTCGGGAGGCCTCTCTGAGGACAGGAGGCAGAGTGCAGCATGAGGGGAGGCTGGAGAGAGAGGCCTGAGGTAGGAGGGCCGTGCACCTTCCAGGACAGGATGCCTCCGAGAGCAGCGAACCCTTTCCAGAGGGACAGTAGACCTGGGTCCGAGGTGCCCATGACTACACACTAGCCTCTCGCCTCCCGATGGAGGGCAGCATGAGGCTCGCAGGGAGCACGGCATCCCCAGACCCCACTGCCTCTCCCTGCCACTGTCACTCTACTTCAGCTGGAGGGCCACGTGCAAGTGGGGGCCAGGCTAGCTCCAGCCCTCGAGCCTCCAGGCCAGCACACAGCTGGTGACAGACCAAATATGAACCAGAAATTAAGTCTACTAATACACATTCCTAGATGTAGTGCCCTGGCGAAGTCCACTCCTGCCTTAAAAATACATACATGGTAAAGCACACACAACATGAAATTCGCCATCGTCACCACGGCTAAGTGCACAGCTTAACGCGCTGAGCTCACTCACACTGCTGTGCAACCATCCTCCCACCATCTCCGGAACTGCCCCATCTTCCCAAGCTGAAGCTCTGGGCCCACGAAACACTCACACCTCACTCTGTCCCTGTTCAACACTTGACCCCCCAGCCCCTTGCCCCTGTTAACTCTTCAAGAAATCAAATACACACAGTCACGCGACCCAGCAAGTGCACTTCAAGATAAGACACAGATAGACACCCAGGAGAAAGGAAAGAGATCCACAAAGAAGCCAGTATTCAAGTGCCTTTACATACACTACTAACAAAAACCAAGAAGAGAAACCCAAGAGTTGTCAACAGTGAATGGATAAACAAATGTGGTCCATCCACACAGTGGAGTATCACTCAGCCTTAAAAAAGGAGGAGGTTCTGACACCTGCCACACTACAGGTGGGCCTTGAGGACATGATGCCCAGTGAGAGAAGCCAGACAGAAAAGGCCACATACTGTGTCATTCCACTCTTAGGAGGTCCCAGGGTTGTCAAATTCATGCAGACAGAAAGGAAATCAAAGAACACTTGCTCTTACACGTGACCACAAGACTACAAGATGCTCAGGCGGATCTGCCTACGTCCTACCTCCACAACCTCAGACACAGGCTCCCCAAGTTCCTGGGCCTAACCCTGGGCTGAGGCACAGGCACTGGCACGAGCCTGTCAGGTCCTTGTCCCTCACTGGGACTGTGCCACACACTATCGCACAGGGCGTCCTCAGTGGGGATTTGGCCCAAAGGCAGACACTTGGCCAAAGCAGAGCCCGTGGGGCTCGACCCTGAGGGACTGTAACACAGCCACCAGTCTCCTGTGAATTGGCTGCCTGCACCCTCTTGCAAAGATGAGGACGGTGAGGCTGGGCAAGGGGTCAGGGGCCGGTGGGGCCAACAGGGTTCCCGCCTGGAGGTCCACCTGCCCTCCCTCCCCCACCCGGGGCCCACAGCTCCCCTTCACTTGGCCTGGGGCTCTTCCAAGCCCATGCTGGCCCACATTCCTGTCGTGGACAGATAGCGAGATTCCCACTGAGAGAAACGGGGTTGCAACACCGCCAACCCCCACTCCCATTTCCAGTGAATCTGTGAAAAAAGCCACCCCCTCGTGGCCATTGGCATCCTGTCTGGCAGAGGTCCCTGGACACGTTTCGTCCACTGTGGCCACAAGACAAAGCCTCTGAAATGACTGCCAGTCATCTCCCTCTCTGGCCTTCTCCTCCTCCTCCCCCAAGGGGCCTGTGAGCAGGCCATGGACACTGAGAGGAGCCACTAAGCTCTGTTCCGGCGTCCGAGTTAGGTCAGTGGCTGCTGTCCCTGCTTGGCAGATACGGAAACCAAGCTCAGAGGGCTAACTTCCCAGCCCGACATACTGAATGTACCCCGCAGACCTAAACAGGGCCTCTCCGCTGCTGCATGGCGGGCAGGAAGCTCCCTGGAGCCCACGTGCTCAGTAGCACCCCCTCTGGGGCCTCAGCTCAGGGATGGCGAGGGGGTTACCCACAGGGCTGATGGAAACCATGGCCTCTCCATTCAGACCAAAGCCACCATGTCAGTGCCCTAGGCGGCTCCTCGTGTGGTCAGATGGCAGGGCCCAGAGAGCAGTGCAAATGCAGCCCACACACTAGAAGTTAAGAGCCCAAAGCACTGAGGTCATTGCGGAGTACGTGGAGACTGGTTTTCTGGGATGCACAAAGGAGCTGCTGCTAAGACGCTGAGTGTCCAGGCACCAGGTGTGCACTAAATCTGAATCCAGTCGGCACGCCCCTGTGAAGCGCCCCTCGCCATCTGTGGGCTATGTCCCGACAGGACAGTCTGCAGAAGGCCATGCAGCAGGCAGGCGACTCACTGTTGACAGGTGTGGCTGCTGAGGATCAGAGAAGTCCCTAGTCCCTGATCGTGGCTGTGTTCTTTATATGGCAAAACGGGCTCTGCAGACGGGGTTAAGGTCCCTGAGACAGGGACGACCCAGGATTCCCTGGGAGGCCCAGTGTCATCACAGGGTCCTTATGAGAGGGAGGGGGAGGATCGGAAGCAGAAACAGAAACAGGAGATGCTGACTCCCACCTCACACTGCAGAGCTCCAGGATTAGAGGACACACCCTCGCCCACGGAGGAGACACTCCCACCCGCTGTTGGCAGGAGCTGAAATCTGGCAACAGCTTCCAAAAGCTAAAAACGCACATCCTTTTTGACTTCTAAGAATTTCCGCTTAGAAACTCTGGCACACGTGTGCAAACCCGTGTGTACAGGGAAGCTGCTGTATGCAGGCTGCTCAGGAAAACAGGGGACAGAGCTCAGATGTCTACCTGGGGGGGCCTAGCCTTTTTCCCCGGCTGCCACAGGCATTGCGGTAAAGGGGTGGGGGTCTTGGGGACCCACTGCACGCACAACACGCTGTGCAGAACAAGCTATTTTCAGAAGGCTTAGACGGTCGGCTCTGGGGAGAGGAACTAGAGAACAGGGTCTAGTGAGGAAGGAAGCCCTGGTCTCCTGCCTGGTCACTTTGTGCTTCTTGGACTCTGTGTCTCAGGAACTCGCCAGCCATTCACAGAAATAAGCAGCCAGACACAGTGGGGGTCACGCACACCAGGCGCGAGACTGGAAAACTCTCCATGGTAGGGGCACGGCCAGCTGTGCACAGGAACACTCTGCCCCCTTTGCTTGTCTCCTAACAACTCCTGGCTTTGCAGCCGCTGCCCCACTGGAGGCGGCTTTCCCTGCCGTTTCTCACTAACCCCTGACCTCGCCCAGCCCTCTAGCCGGCAGGATTTCCAGTTACCAGGCACTCGTACAACCTAGTGGTCCTCACCAGGGTGGTCCTGCCCTGGGGACACCGGGCCAAGCCTGGGGACATCTGTGCTTGTCATGACTGTGGGTGCTGGATATGCCACTCCACGCCCTAGTGCCTGTCACGGCCCCCCAGAGAGGATGACCCAACGCAGTGCTGGGGAAAGGCCCTACAGGGCCAGGACAGTGAAATGACAGCATGGGCTGGTCCTGAGCTGGCAGGGACCCAGGGGCCAGAAGATAACCCAGTATCCAAGCCCCAAGAGCCCTCCTGACAGCTGGGGTCCCACCCGAGGAGGAACACAAGGGCAGACGCTCGCTTCCAGTCACTGTGGCCCGAGGGCGGGCAGGAACCGCCCCTCCCTGAGCCCACAGAGGAAATGAGGTCAGACAGTGGCCTGTGGGGCAGGACCAGGATGGTGAGCCCCTCCCACTGTTGCTGGGAGGCCTCCTCAGGTGAGAGCAGCATCCTGGGCATACCTCTGGTGAGGTCGTGCCAGCCCTGCTTCCAGCAGTGCTCAGACCAACTGCAGGTGCTTTGGGGCCTTGCTTATCTTGAGAACCGCTCCTGCTGTTTTCCTGCTGTGGGGCTCTGAGGCCAAGGAGACACCCCGTGATGTGGCTCATGACTCAGGGCTCCAGGCAGCTGCCGGCCTCCCCTGTCCCCAAGGCACTGCTGACATCCCAGCCATCCAGGGCACTGTGGGTGCGAGCAGCCCCCCAGGTCCCCACCTGTCTGATGCTAGCAGGATGCCCCCAGTTATGTGGACCACTGATGTCTCCAGACACAGTCCAGTGTCCCCTGAGGTGGCGGGGGGAGAGGCGCAGCATCAGCCTAGAGAGGGTGACTCTGTCCTCTGGGAGGGAGGTCACACAGGCTCCCCAAATGGAGCACGGGGTAGGGAGGGGAGGACACAAGCCGGCAGAGCCCATGGGCACTGCATCCCGGGGCACGGGACTCTGCTCCCAGCCCTGTGGGGAGGCCGTCAGGACACAGCTGAGGACAGGGACACGAAGCCCACCTGTGCTGTTCCAGCAGCCAGTGAAGCGCCAGACAGTCCAGGTGCATGACTCAATGCAGTCCCCAGGCTCAACTCTATCTCTGTTCCACAAAGGAGGGACACTGGGGCTCGGGAGGCTGG